TAATTTTTTTTTAGTCTAAGGACACCACATGGGACAATCTAGAATTGGAATCTTTGCAGAAATATGGACTTGAATACAAAGCTTGAAGTGCATAATAAGATGGAAACCAGGGAAAATTCCCATATCTTTTAACATGGTTTCTTTAGTTATTAGTACATTATAGGAGAAAACCAAAAGAGGATATTTTTCACATATCCTTTTCACATATCACATACAAAATTTTTGCTTTTTTTTTTCCTCTAAATGATTTGAAAGCAATTATTCAAGATAGTAACCAGCATCTGAGCTATAAACTTCAGGGTATTTTGTTTATATTTATGTAACTGTGTGCCTCTCTGTTATTTAGGGAGTCCCCAGAGACCTCTGAAAAGGGTAAGAGCTCTGATTGACTTTTTGTTCCATTTTCAATGCAAGGTGACATGTGAACAAGAAAAAAAATCTCCTGTTTCTGCCTCTGCATGGAACAATTATTGGAAATGCTTATGGAGTGGGAGTTTCAAGAGCACTGAAAGCTGACCTAATCCAATATTACCTCAAAGGGGATTTCATTTGACAGAAATAAAACCACAGTGGTTTCTGCTCTCTGCAGCATCAGGGAGTCACCTTCCAGTGACCTCCTCCTGCATGCAAGTCTCATACTCAGGTAAGATGGCTTTTGGATACTCAGATAAAATGATTTTTATGTATATGTTTTGTAACAGGCCAAGCCCTGCAGTGACCAAACGATAATACACTAAAGGACATAATTCCCAGGCATTTCCATGCTCCTTGTGCCTTTCAGTACAAAGCCCAGGCCTTTAAAACCAGTCAACACATGACTGATCTGTAGGATCAGAGTCCTTCAAGGGCCCTCACAGAATGAAGAAATATCACTCCACAGAGAGAGACATCAAGCAGGCAGAGCTGTTGCTAAAATATATATAATTTTTTTTCTGTCAGTGCAGCACACTCTGTATCATCTGCCCAAACCGTACAACTCAAGAGGCAGCAGTCAACTCACGTGCTCAAAGGAGTCCTGCCAGACTACTCCAAACCAGCATTTTCCTGAGAACTGGACACCTCCTGGCAGTTTTACCCTGCATTCGATGGGCACCCAAAAGGAAACTTGTGTTCCTGATGAAGGGAGTATTTATTTTCAGCACATAGAGGGCTTATAAAAAAAATTCAAGCATTTCCTATAAGAACACATGCACAGAAGAAAAAATAAGTTGTGATTATGGCACTTTTGCAGACCACCAGAATCTTTGTTGGAGATATCTGAGACTCAAATTTGTGTCTCAGTACTGCAGATTATGCATTTATTTTCAGTGAAGAATTTTCATTTACTATCAACATAATCACCCAACAACAAAGCTTCCTGCAGAAGGAGGATTCCTTAAGTTATTGATAAGAATTTAGCTAGAAATGAAATACAGTTCTGTAATTGTTTCCTTCCAATTAAGAGAAAATGTTGCAACTCATCTCTGCTATGGGTGCCACCTGACTGAAACAATTCATTGAATATACAATCAGAAGTCAGAAGGAGCTGTCCAAAAGGTACTCCAGTGTTTTATCGAACACCTTTTTCAGAAGCCCACAGAACAATCACTAGAATAAACCCAGAAAACAGTGACAATAAACTGCTTTCTTGAACTCACTCTGGATTCACTCACAGGAGTTAAATCCAGGATAAAGAGGGGAAAAAGAGTTTAACTTGGGAGATGAAGGCCTCAAATGACACAGTAAATTCCACACGGCCCAGGTGCTAAAGGTTCCCTTGCTTTAGAGGGTTCCTGACAGGATAAAGAGTCAGCTCAGCAGAAAGCTGACCCCCACAGCAGAGGGAGTACACAGTCAATAATTAAAGATGCAGCTTTAATGGGCCTTCCTGAGACTTGCCAGGCATTTCAAGCGCTGCTAGGGGCAGGCTGGTCTCCAAAGGAATGAGCTACCACCACTTCCAGCAAGCCCAGCACTCCTGGCTGCGAAGCAGGACAGGGCTTACCATGCCATGTGTGATTTCCTGGGGTGATGATCTGGCCATGAGCTGCATCCCCTGGTCCTGAGCCCAGGCAGGGGGGCACTGCTGGGCACTGCCACAGCCGGGGCTACCAGGAACAATCAGCCTTTTCCAGCAGGGGAAGAGCTCCAGCTCCCGCTCGGTCCTGCATGGCTGGGCCTCACAGCCGCAGCTGGAGCGCTTTCACAGTCCTGCAGAGAGCTCAGAATGGCCAGAAGGAGCCTGAATCTGGCAGTGCCTCTCTCCTGCCTGCACCAAACCAAGCTTTTTCAATTAGCAACACATTTCTTCCCCCATCACAACAGATGAAGTGCAGAGTGAAATTCATTCTAAAGCACATGCATTAAGCTGAAGGGGCTGAATACACCAGGGCTCAGCCTGCTGCAATAAAAACTGATGAAAATGAACAATCAGAGAGGAATGAGTAGCTGTTTAAGTTCCCACTGCTGCCAAAAAATATTAGCCAGGGAGGATAGGTTAAGCCTCCTGTTGACTCTTTGCATTCCACTTAGGGAAACGAGTTTGTTAACATTTAACAAAAAGAACTCTAAGTCTTTTACTAATTGTTCTCTTCAGAAACTAAAAAAAGTCAAGCATGACAGATTTCAAGAGATAAAATATGGGAATTCAAGGGAACAGGTATTATTTTGCACAAATTGCCTTGAAAAACACATCCTTCTGTCCTCTTTCTCTTCTCCAGTGAGGGAATTACCAACACCTGGCTGAAACTCTGTTTTTTATTTGGAGCTATTTTGAGCTCTTGGTAGATATGTCAACAGTTTAAAAGAAAAGCTTGTTCAAACTACAAAACATTTGGCTGCCTTATGGCAGGATTTTTAAAATCACACTTCTATCCTCTAAGGGAATGGTCATCTGGAAAGACAGGGAAGAGAGATCCCTTAGGATGATGGTTTGGGGCAGAAACAGAAGTCCACATTAAGAGGAGGTCACTGCACTCTAGGACAGCTACAGTACCCAGAATACCCCTCAAACAACCATGGAGATGGGGAACAGGCATTTCTGGACAAAGCCTGATGAATTTTGCTTAGAATCAGCTAATGGAAACTCCACCATGTGAGTTTTGAAGAAGGCCATGACTCAAGACAGCAGCTGGGTAGTCCATTTTATATCTATGTTTGATGGGAGTGGCAGGAAAAAACAGCTTGTCCTTCCTATGACCTGGACTTTTTGCAATACTTACTAATCTATTAAGCTGAAGAAGAGTCAGAGAGGCAGCAAATGGTGACATTGCTGTCACCTCCTTAATTTTCCTGGCTTCCAGATAAAAAGTTCCCTTACACCTTAATTACAGGCAAGGGTGAGCCCGATATGAGGTCAGTATTGGTGAAGATGTTTCCAGAAGTGGTTTTCTAGAACTACCACATTTCAGGACACTAAGTTTCAAAAAGCAGATACTTTGCTTAGTTTCAGCTCTCACAGAGGCGCTAACTCAGCTGCCTACAAAACAACATGAATTTTGGAGAAAATAACACAAATATGAAAGTAGTCAAGTCAAAAAAAAAGGCCAGTATTTCCATATTCTGTAAAGCTTGAGCTGTAACAGAGGCTTAGACCTTTGACTTTAGTAGCTGCCTCACACCAAACTTATCTTCATTCCAGCAAAAAAACCAAACAAACAAATAAAAAAAAAAACAACAACATTCACGAGCAAGAGTTCTTAGTGCTGTAGCAAAATCTGTGCCAAAATTACAGATGTTTTTATTCTCATGAGCACACCTCCCACTCCCCTTCTCTAGGATTTTGATTTGCTGGTTTCTGTTTTGCTTGTCTGATGTAGAAAGAGCTCCAAGAGGCTTCCTAATCAACAGGGAGGGAAAGTTTCATATAGTTTTGTCACAAGTTCAAAAATTGGTCTTGATTTCCTCAAAACATATACAGCCCCAAAAAGATTGTATGAAGAGGAATTTCAGTGCATACCTTTCTTGTAAAGGTATTTAATTTATTCTCCTTACAAACACGGGACAATGATTGCTCCGCAGGCAGAGCAATACTCCAGCACTTCTGTCCCTTGTCAGCTCTATGATATAATTAATAACTATGAATATTAACAAGTTATTTGGCCAGCCTGAACCAGTTGTTATTGAAGATGAACTACAGTGGCTTTCAACCTGGCAGATTTGTGCAGCTTTAGCTACACTATCAGGGAAACTCAGGGACTGACAGCAGAAATAGAGGTGCTGCAGGAGGGAATTTCACTAAAAATATTAAGATTTCAAAAGATTTCATTACAGCAACACAAGCAATGACCTCCCTCCTGCAGATGGATAAATTCTCAGGCCCTTCCATGCCACACCGTGTTTGATATCAGTGTTCCTGCACGTGGATTGCCCTCCTCTGAGACATCCCCAAGGCAGGCCCCACACTCCACGTGGATGGAGAGCCTTCATTCCAACATTTCCTCAGGAAACAGCCACTCTTATGTTCCCAGCTGCTTGGTTTTGTCTTTTTGACTGCTCTTGCCACAGAAGACTTGCAGTGCTCTCCTGCATCCCTTTTTACCTGCTGGGCAAAAGGCTGATTGCTGGCCAGCGTTTCCATGGACTGACAAGTCAGCCAAACCAGATTTTGTCTCTAAAAAGTGGCATTTATTTTTGTCTTTCTCTCCTTTTCACAACTGCCAGTTTTCTGCAAGTTATAGAAAATTGTTTACCCTTGAAGCCATTACTCCCTCATCAAACGTGGTTGCCTTTGTACTGTGTGTGTTACACTCACTGTACCTAGATGTGAACAGGGCCAGAACTGAGAGATTTCTCCAGTGTCAGCCGCACATCACACACAGCCTGGGGCCCTCCTGCCCCAGAATTCCTTGGAAGCTATCTCCTGGCAAACATCAGGACTGCAGACACCAGAAGGGACTCACAAAGGTTCAGTCAAATTCTGCCATAACAAGCAGCAAGGAAAATATTTTACTTTCAAATCCTTCCTCACCAAGTCCCCACACCATAGATAATGCACTAATGAAACAGAATGAATTATCAGGTGAGGTTCCATCAGTGTGCTGACTGTACTTTTAATGAAAACATGGACAAAGATAACATGGGCTGTGAGGTACATTCAGATTCTATCAGAACAATAGCTAGGACCCTCCAAAATCTCCACATTACCCTTTAGCATTGTCCTGTAATCCTACAAAACAGTGCCCATTTTATGCTTGGAATATCCTTATTCCAAAAGAAAATTTTTATTATGAAACATAGGTTTAAAAAGAAAAACAGGACTATTTTTCCCCAGTTTCCTACACAGAGAGCTGAACTACTCATATTTAAAGAAGAGCCATGGATTTCACTTTTTTAAAAAAAAAAATTATATCTATAGAACTTGCAGCTGGTACTCTACAAGGAGAGACCTTATCAACACTTGAGAAGACACATCCGTCAAAATACTAGAGCTGTGGAGCTAGAACAGCACAGGAAGTTGTTGTGGAAAGTTGAACAGTTTTGTTTTCCCAACACCTTGATTAGATTTTCAGTGACAAGATAACAAGAACGAGAACACTGATTTGGATTTTTCATGTTACTGGTGGTAACATCTTTCAGCTTAAATTGTGCTGCAGACTGAGCGGGGATTCTCCTCTTCTCCTCCAGTGCTAAACCAAAGCAAACAAACAGAACGATTTCTCATTTCCACAGTGAGAGGACCATCTGCCACCCAAGTAATAACCCAAAATAAAACAGTCCTTCAGGCACTGTGCACACTGACAGGATTCACCACTGTGAGCAGGGCTGCCTTGCATCAGGCATGCCCTTCTCTTTTTTCCTTTTTCTTGCTGGCTGTGCAGCTTTTTGGTGCTCCCAAAGGCTGTTTTATTTCCCAGACTCTCTTTAAGCAGAAACAATCTCATGTGAGAAGTACAAGTCTTTAAGGCTAACGTTACAATCCAAGCAGAAGAACAAGTCACACGCAGAGAAACGATTTTCAAAACTTTGACTAATTTTAAATGACACTTACATTCATTTCTGCAATTTTTCCTGCTGTAAGCACATGAAGAACCTCATTCTACATTCCACTGAACCCCTCAAATACCCTCAACAGTCCATGAACATCTGGAGTCCAAATGAATACAGAATTAATCCCTAAGGCTGGACAGAAAACAGGTCAGGAACCATCCCTGCTATGAAATCCTGCAGCGGGTCACTGAAATCAGGCTGCACTTCACTGCTGGTTTTGTAACATGCTTTCTTTTCAGACCAATTTGCCTTAACCAGCTCTTGCCCACAGTACAGCACTGGCACAGCTGTAAGTGCAGTGACCTGAACCATCCTGATAATACCTACAACACATAGGTCTAGCCATCCTCAGTAGCAAGGCATTCCTGTGACATTCTAACCAGATTCTTAGCACCTTCACTCTCCCAAGAGTCTGCAGAGGAGCTGATGGTACTCAGCTCCTCGGGCTTTTAAGCCCTTCCTTTTCCTTCCTCGGGGGAGGGGACGACACATCAAAAAGAAAAGGAATAAAAGGAAAAGAAACCAAGGAGTCAATGACACACACATGCTGTCCTACACACACACACCCCCAAACAGAGGGAAAAAGCACAGAAAAAGGAAAGTTCTACAGGGTGCTGATCCGGAATGAAATGGAATTTGGAAGAGATAGTCATATTTGGCACTGTCAGCAAAAGCTTATGAGTGGCCCGGTGACTCTCTGAGCCTTAATGCCCTTTTTACACTTGTCACTTAAAAATGTCCCTGGAAAGTTCAGCTGTGCTGCTTCTGAGGTTTTTTTCCCACCGCTGCTGAATGGACTTAATGGAGAGATACATTTCATCCTCTCCCAGTTCCATAAAGCACTAAACAATAAGGACATATTCCATTTAGCCTTCAAGTAGCATTTTTATGGTCCATGCAGATCCCTTTAGAAACAACCAACATAAAACAGAACTCTGTCGGAGAGCGTGGAAATTAAAAACGACTGATCTCCCGAACTGACTGTGATGATCCTCAGGCTGAAGGCTGGGTTAGAGGGTCCTCACAAGGTTCCAGCTGCATTCTCAGCACACCGCTTTTGTGCAGGAACCAAAGCTGTAGGAACTCCTCGGGCATGGCATGGAACCCGGAGTCGGGCAGGACATTGTCATAGTAGTGATGGCTGATAAACTTCCCGTGCAGGTCCACCGAGAAGGGCCAGAAGCCGTAGATTGTCACCTCCTCGCACAGCCCCAGGGCAGCGCTGACCAGGAAGAGTCCCGTGGAAAGGCGCTTGGCGTGAATGCCTTTGCTCTTCCAGAACTTGCCGATGTCCCGCAGGAAGTTGGGGTTGGCAAACAGGACAGCCTGCTTGGCACCGAAATCCTCCAGGGTGTAGTAGACACGCAGGGAGGGCCCTGTCCCCGTTTTCATGGAGAAGGCTGGCATGTAGATGTAGCTGTGGTTGTAGACCTTCACGCTGTCCACAAAGGCTTTTCGGGACCACAGCAGATTCTGGAACCTGGAAAATCACAAGGGACAATGGGCTGGTCACACATGGGTTTTCCCAGATGTTTCACAATCCACCTAAGGGCTGCTCCTCATACCCATATTTACAACTCACTGCACACCTTTTCCAAGCCCAGAGAAAGTCCAAAGAAACTTCTGGCTGTCTGACACTGCCTCTCTTTTGAAAACAGACACCTGAATAGAGAGTTGAAAACTATCTGGTATCCTGCTAACTCCAAAACCTTTCTGATTTCATCTTCCTTAAAAAAACCAAATGAACACTGACAACATTCCATAAGACTCAATCCTTTTTGGCATCATCTGTCCAAAAACCAACTTAGATTTTTCATGTATGGGAATCTATAAAATAAGTTTTTAAATCTGTGTTATTCTTGTTCTTAAAGACAGACCAAAATAAGAAGCCAAATTAGATTAGGAGAGCAAGGTATATGAACAGATTATTTCTTTGATATCAGAACAGCACATTACAATTTGTTCAATTGTCAATAGCTATTTGCCAATGGCTGTTTTATTCTTGATGTTTGACTGACAAACTGCTCCACAGCCAGCGTCACGGACTATAAACTCTCCTTGCCACACCCCAAAGGTGGGGTTTCCTCCCCACCTTTATCACTTGATGATGTCCAAAGCCTTTCACTGCAGCTAGGCTGCTCCCAGGCATGTGATCCCCATTTTTTCCTCAGCTCCCAAATGCCCACGTTGCTGCCTCCTCTCCCTGTTTCCTGCAGCCAAGGCAGATGTGTCATGACTAATTCCCTAGTCACACACCAGAAGAGTCAAAACAAGAAAATTAAGTCAGCAGCACTGGATTTTTTTTCCTTTCTGTTGTGCAGGCAGAAATAGGTATAATAATATTTTTAAAGTGGTTATAAAGAGATCAATTTTATGCATAAACCTCTTTGAAGCTATAACAAGAATGACAAACAGGTTTCAACAGAATGCCAAATGACCTCAAGAAGTATTAAACAAAATTTCAGCTGAAATGATTGGAAACAAAAAAACTCCAAACAGCTTCAACAGCACTGGAATGTCTCATAATATATGCCAGGTCTTTGTGTAGTCTTTGTTTTGGCAAAAAACAAACAAGCAAGCAAACAACCCCTTGAAATATTCTTGATAAATTGAAAGGCTTTCTCGACATTTTTAATATTAAATATTTGGTCTCTTTTGCTACAGGTTTGCTACAGGTTCTTGCAAAACTTTCTGCACATGGTATTAGAATGAAGCTGGTTTGAAATCTGAAGTCTGTCTGGCTCTTCACTGCTTCTCTGCTGATCTGCTCCTCCTGCATGGTGCTATTTGCTAATGGAGACAAAGCCACTGGCTTCCCAGCAAGACATCAATTCAACCCCAACTTACAAAAAAAACCCTAATAATTTCATAACTTATTGCATTTGGCACTCTTTTCTGTAGAACCAGCCAAGACACAGCTTAGTGTAGAAGGCCAGCCAAGACCAAGGTGCCTTGGCAGAATTTCACTGTCTGCCTCTTCACGTGGGCCTCTCCCTCCATCACTATCAGCCCTATGACTGTTCCCCAAAATTAGCTTTACCAGCCTCTCTTCCCAAGGAGTAGCAGGACAATCTGCAGATACCAGGTGCATGAGTTGGCTCCATCCTACCAAGCTTATTTTGTTTCCATCAGGACACTCTCACTGAAGGGGTAAAAACAAATTACACAAGAAACTTCAAGCTTAATACCTTCATTATTCCCCTAAGTGCCCAGACCCCCAGCACCCAAACTGTTCTAAAACCCCTAATCACTTTGGAAAGGTCCTAAGGCCAACAGCAAGCTTTCAGTCCCTGCTCAGTCACCGGACACTGCAGGCTCAAACTTCCTTCCACCGTGAAGGGGTGTTGAGCAAACACCTTGATGCTGTGGGTCCTTGCACCTGGGCTGAGGAGGCACATTCACTGTCACCCCTGAAGCACCACGTCCTTTCCCACTTAGAGCTAGTACACAAATTTTACTGCAGAGGGCAAACACTTGTGGTAACTCTAAATCTGCATTTTCTAGCAAATTTACCATTCTTAGAAAAGCCCCAGGCAGCTCAGGATGAACACATTAAAACTCCTCAGTCTCAGAGGGCCAGAGACTGTCTCTAAATATTCATTTGCTATCATTGCCACAACGTTTGCAATTCTTCTGGATAAATGCCCCCAAAAGCTTTAAAGTAACAGGAAGTAAACAGCAGTGCCATGAGACCAGTGCATGGGAGGGACTCCACGCAGAAGGGACAGCAGCGTTTGTCACCCTGCTGCAAACTGTCCTTTAGGAACATCATCACCTCCTGGAAACCCGTGCCTCATTCCAGCCGTCTGGATGGCAGTGCTGCAGGCATCCTGCCCAGTTCAGCAGGTGGACATTATACAGGTGGCCAGGAGCCCATGGAGAAACATAAAACATGCTGATTATGGCTGGGCCGATGGTCTGACAGCCAAAAAGCTGCTGCTCATCTTGAGCATCTCACGAGGGAACATATTAGAAACAAGTGAAAATTTCTGTTACCTATTAGTAAAAATGGGAGCGCTGTCCAGCATTCTGACACTTCACAGGCTGGATAGAAGCTGAGAAATCTGGGATAAATGCTGTGCATAAGCAAGTTTCTAGAGCTGGTGCTGGAAGCTCAAGTGTGTTTTCCTTTAACTCCCAATCCAGGCAGGGAGTCCTGCAGGCTTTGAAGGTACCACAGCACACCCATCCCAGCAGGCAGCGAGAAGCCGCTCCACGCTTGACAGAGACACCAGGAAGGCTTTTCCCTTGAGGCTCTGTAGTGCCCACAGGAGCACGAAGGTGTTTGTGTCCCGCATGTCCTGGCACAGGCGCAGCCCTGGCATCCTCAGGGGCACAACTGCCTTCCCTTGTGCCAGTCCTCGCCCAGAACGAGGAGCTGCTGGTTCCTGGTTAGTGCTGGCCTCTTCTGAGCGTTCAGTCCTCTCAGCGGCACAGCCCAGGAGCTGTGCAGCTCCACCACACGCGCACAGCTTCCAGAGAACTGCATCAAACAATGCAGTTTGAGCTTTGCACAAGAGCACATCTCAGGCGGCGTTATCTCTGCAGCGCAGCTTGGAGCACGAATCGGCTGAGCTGCTGCCAGGGCCCTGCCCTGACCTTCTGCAGTCAGGCTCACACAAACATCTGGTGAGTCGCTAGCACCTGGGCAAAACTGGAGCTGGAATCTTCCAAGCCCTGAGCAGCACCTGGAGCCTCCACAAGCAGCTGGGGAATTTGCCATGGTATGTTCCAGCAGCTCCCAGAGAGGCAGGAGTGACTGCGAGCCCTGGCGAAAACAGATCCCAGCAGGTCCAGCCCAGGCACTTCTAGTCCCACTGCACTCCTCAGTGGACAGTGAACAACTCAGATCACCAGCACCACATTTTTCTCTCAGGTTCCTAGGAAAGATCAACTTAAACCCAGCAACTTTCAGCAGCATATGGAGGCAGAGCTGCACAGATATCAGAGAAATAGTTTCCTTGCTAGCAGCTGGAGAATTCCCTCAAATGCTCTGCTCTACTTTCCAGAGAAAAATATTCATCCAAGAGAAAACTGCCGTGGCACACTGTCATAGGAGAACAACCACAGACTTAAAACCATTTTTTTGGGGGTTTTGTTTTTAATCTGTTTTTAATGTTCTTGTTGATGTTCTTTAGCAGATACTCAGGCACTGTGCTGCTCTCTGGTACTGAGAGACAGTTCTCAGCAACCACAAGGAATTTGCTGCAGTGACATTGAGCTAACCTTATGCAGATAATTATGGCAGCATTCCCTTGCATCTTGGTTTCTTTTTGATCTCCCCAGAGAGCCTCTATCTCATGCCTGTGACGATATCCCAGGCACTGACTCTGTTGGCATTTGCAAAGTCACAGGTTCAGCATTCTGGATTAACTGGGAGTTGACTTAACAGAGGAGAAAAAATAAAATTACATAATGAGGGGAACAGCTCAGATGACAAAGAAATAGTGTATTATTTTAAAATTATGACAGAGCTCAAGGGAATAGAGCAGAAGGCATAAAGACTTATATTTGTTATGTCCCTATGACAAACAATAACCTCACAAAAACTATTTAGTTAATTTGATATCAGCATTAGCCAAGAAAGGTTTAGCAGTTTGCTGCAGCTCTTGGACTGCTTACAGCTGGGGTCACAAGAATTCAGCTTGCAAACACAGATCTGAGCCTCCTCTGCTGTGACAGAGAGGTTGTGCTGCACTCACTCCTCAGAGTGCCATTCAAACAGCAGTGCCCTCCTTTATGCCCTGTGCTCTCTCTCATATCCAGCAGTTCTTGATGATGTGCCCCCCCCCGGGGCTTGTGCAGACAATCTTACTGACACACAGGCTGTGTCCCAATTAACAAATTGTTTCTGTGTGCTCATTCCACGTGTGGGCACTTCAGCACGCTTTAGGTGCAGACTTTCTACTTGTCCACACAGGGAGCCAGAACTGAGCACTTAAAGCACTATAAACCATTTCTTATTTTATCCCAGCTTTCCCAGCTACACAAGCCACTGTTTACTCACCTTAAGGACTGCTACCTGACTTCAGGATCAATTGCAATCCCACTACAGTCAATGGCAAAAACAACTTGGATCCCCAGTGTTCCGTGTGACCTCGTTTCTGTGTGACCTTCAGCAGGAGGGATTCTGTCCTGTTCTCACTCTGGGTCCCTCCACAGGCACCAGCCACCCAGCTGAGAGCTCGTGGCACAAGTGGGCTGATGCTATTCCCATATTTTCCTTCCCCTTGGCCCTTCATGGACCAGAAGCTCGCTGCTCTCAGGGGTGGCTGGCTCCCAGACTCAGTCCAGCTCATCCCTTCCTGCTGAGACCCCACACTGCTGCTTCTTATGGCCAGGGGCTTCCAGCCCCCAAGAGCCTGCTCTTCCCTGATACCAATAATAAAAGACAAATTTGCCTCATTCTCCTTCTCATAAACCTTTTGAATGGTGTTTTCGGATGCAGGGATTCTGGGTACTTCCACCATCATCTTTAAA